TTAAATCTGCAGAGTTGAGCTGATCTGGCAATTTGTTTTGTTTGACATTCTGTATTTCCTGTCTTAAAATTAATGCTGCATGCAATAAAACTTCCTTTTTTTCGATGCGATGAAATTGTTGTTCTACGACAACGCTTTTGTAAGGTTTCACAAGTTTTTTATTATTGTGCGACACGATGGTTATTTTTTTTGAAAATGTAGCTAGAAGACGATTTTCTAGATGATACGGCTTCGTCGTATATGCATCTGTGTTTGCCTTGTGTCCTTCCAAATAATCTATAAATATTGTGTTCAGATACGACAGGAAAAACGACTGATTTTTGGCGATGATATTTTCTGACACAAATTTACATACTTCTTCATATGCTTGAGAATGAACATCACGAGCTGTATGCCACTCTGTCCTTGGCTTCTCTTTACTTTTCTTCGATACCGCTGTATTTTCGTATTTTTTTCGGCATATCGTATGATAAAATATTAATTTGTCTTCTAACGCCAAGTTATGCAATTTTTGAACAAACTGTATATCGTTCAAGTCCATTGCAATTTGCTGTATAGTTGATAATGCTTTTTTCTTCTCTAATAAATGTAATTGTTGCTCCCGGCCTTGATGTTTTTTCCTATTTTTATCACAAAATAAACAAATAGGATTATGTGATGCCTCTTGAACAATGCCAGATACGTCAACATTGTCAACTACAGCCACATCGTCTGGATCAGTGGCATCCTCGCCCCCAGCGACATCGTCGCCTGCGTCGACATTTTCGCGTTCAGCTTTCTCGTTTTCAGCATCAACCTCGCCTTCTCCTTCAACTGCAGCCTCACCTCTACCGCCATCCACGCCTTCAATAACACCCTCGTTTCCAGCGGCATGCTCGCCTTCCACAGCACTGTCGTAAATAAAAAATAATTTTATAATAAATCATGCATGCATAATATAGAAAAGAGTAATGTACTAGAGATAATGTACTAATGTATTAATGTAAACAAAAATTTTTACAGAATGTAAGATCAAAATTAATTTTATAATCTTTAAGGAAAAATATTTTAATTACACTTATTTATCTTATAATAGAAGCACTTACTCTGTACTTGAAGATGAGGATGCCTGCTTTTTCGGATCATATCCTCTCTGTTTGGGCGGTAATGCTGTAAAACGGTTGCGGCACTGACTGTGATAAACTTGAAAACTGTTCGGCTTTTCCGGCAACACAACGTTCGAGAAAGCCAAATCAGCGTGTTTCCGAATTTTTAATATGGCTATACACTTCTTTAACTTGTCCGCATCAAAAAGATTTAATTTTCCGCTTTTTTTGGAGCAAAATACGCAAAACGGATGTACGTTAGACATTGTCGCAGCTCCGATTGGTACAAGTTCAACGGTCGCACTAGATAGCTTGGCGTCACTTTGGCAAATTCGGAGCATAGAGACGCCAAATTTGCTAGTGTAAATATTTACTAAAACTCTTTAAATTCAAGAACTTGTGAGATAGTATAATAACGTCTGCATGGACGCTCTGTGTTTAATGAGAAAAGTATAAATATCTGATACCGCAAGAGCTGAAATTTGGTAATACAATAGTTAACTGAACAAGTTAAACGAAAAAAATATCCAGCTTTATATTTAGTGAGGAAAAAGTGTCCGGCTGATGCAGTCAAAGATACAACGCGCCCGAGCGCATACCGATGCACAGCGTCATTCACTGCATCAGCTGGGCACTTTTCCCCCACTAAATATAAAGCTGGATGTTTTTTTCGTTTAAGTTATTAACTTAACTATTAGTTTACAAAATTTCAGCTTTTGCGGTATCAGTTTACTCAGCGCATATTTTCCACTTCTTTACGTGAAAAGCTGGGGCATAATCCCCCATTCTACATTCAGCTGGATACGTTTTTTCATTTCTTTATAACATAATCAACATGTTAACAAAGTTTCAGCTTTTGCGGTATTAGTTTTTTTTTATTATTATTTTACGTGTGTGGGAGGCTGCCGCAGCTACACCCCCCGGAACTGCGCAAGTTGGAGGTCCATTCACTTACTAGTGATACCAAATAGAGCTTAGGAAAAATTTTCAGCTTTTGTGAAATGACGAACTCTAAACGGTCGCTGGCTCCCGGACTATAATTAATGATTATCTCCATTTGATAATGGTCAAGTTTCGCCAGTCAGTTGTGTACTTGAAGTACTCTTTAAAAAAATAAAATGTAATGCACTTCCAACTACACGTCTAGTTCTTTCCTCTGGTATATCAGTTGGAGCTAGCGTCTGTAAAGAATAAAATATTTATTCAAATATACATATATTTATATGTGTCTGTGAAGTTGGCACCTCATTTTCAAAAATCGGAAATTTTATTAAGAGTTCCATTTGCACCCACAATAGTTCTACAGTTCCTGATGTATTTCATAAATATTTCCGTCGATTTAGATAAAAATATAACGATTTAAAAAAATGCTAACTTCCCGTGGCACCTCAAGTTTTGAAAATATTTATTTTTATTACGGAATTCTATAGTTCTTGAAAAGTTCTATAGTTCCTGATAGGTTTTAGCGATAGTTCTGGTCTTTAAATATTTTTAAATAATTTTTTAATTTGACCGCTGGCACCTCAAGTTTCAAAAAAATTGATTTTTATCATGGAATTCTTTAGTTTTCGAAGAGTTCTACAGTTCCTGATAGGTTTTAGCAACAGCCGGCATCTAAATATTTTTTAAATAACTTTTTACTGTTACCGCTGGCACCGCACACAAGAGTAAAGTCATGAATCGCAGGCAGTTTCGATCAACTTTTTGACAGTTCTCGATAGTTCTCGCATAGTTCCAACAGTTTTTATAAGTTTTAGCAACAGTTCCGGGCTCTAAATAATTTTTTAACAATTTTTTACTGTGACCGCTGGCACCGTACACAAGAGTAAAGTCATGAATCGCAGGCAGTTTCGATCGAGTTTTTGACAGTTCTCGATAGTTCCAACAGTTTTTATAGGTTTTAGCAACAGTTCCGGCCTTTAAATATTTTTTTAACAATTTTTTACTGTTACCGCTGGCACCGCACACAAGAGTAAACACGGAGGTGCAGGCAGGCAGTTCTGGCCGACTTTTCGGCATTTTCGTACAGTTCTGCGATAGTTCTGAAGACCCCGGTAGGTTCCGATCACAGTTCCGGCTTTTAAATATTTTTTAACAGTTTTTTATTCTCAGAGTTGGCACCTCACCATCAAGAGAACTAAGGAGTGCGGGCTTGTTTCGCGGTTTTTTTCGACATTCCCCGACAGCTCTTGCATAGTTCCAACAATTTTGATAGGTTTTAGCCACAGTTCCGTAACCTGTAGAGGACCGCCGGCATTTTTCTATTGAAATCTTGGATTTTTTTTACGTAAAATTTATGCATATAGGTACAATCAACATGTTCCGAAAAGTTTTCGTTTCTGGTCCCTTTACAGTCCACTCCGGCCCAGAACAAAACGGCAAATATTGAAAATTTTTAAAATTTGAACTTTAGTGTTTTTGATATCGCTAATCACGATTCTGAGGTCAGATTATCGAAATTTTGCACAGGAACAGTGTTACCAACCTAAATAAGCCTAAATGAGTAACAGCAGTTACATTCGTGTATAAAACTTTCCTTTGGCGTTACCCAGAGCTAACTACGTGGAAGTAGAAAGTTTTGTAGCTCCTTTTTTGGTTTTTTTTTTTGTTTTTTTGTTTATTTTTTTAGTATTTTTTCGTTATTTTTGTATTTTGAGCCACTCCGGCTCAAATCTAAAGGTTAATATTTATTTTTTTTTTGTTTTTAAAAGTTTTTTAATAAGTGCTGTTAAATCTTACATTCTAAGCTTATATAATATATGATTTTGAAATATAATTTTAGAGAGAAAGTAGTATTAAATTCTCTCAAAAAGAAATAAAATTATAGGAAATTAAAAAGTAAAAATAATGTCAGAAGTAATCTTAAAATGTTAGAAATAAAATTTAAAAAATCTGAAAGTATAATAATCTTAAAATAACTAATCTTAAGTTGTTATAAATATAGTTGTAGGAAATAAAAAATTAAGAATAAAATTTAGGACAATAAAAAAATAATCGAGATTAAGCGACCCAACTGGCCAATTTCTATTTATTCGTCTCACAACGTTTCGACCCCGATTGGGTCCTTCTCAAGTGAGATTATACATAATTACGCAACAATATCATGCGTCGCAAGACGTTGCGCCCAAACCACATCATGCGAACGCCACGCTAGAACGAATAAAATGTCAATATAAGTATGTCAGATATAAATTATGAAAAAGTGGGAGACATATCGCAAGTACATCGTGAGAACTTACATATTAAGTGCGTTTTTATCTACGCACTGGCGGATCCAATAATTTATTACAATAAAAAAAATCAACAATTTTATAATCATTAAAAGAAAATTCTTAAAACCTTGGAAATATATATTGGGTTGGCAAATAAGTTTGTTCGGTTTTTTCCATTCAAAACCAGTCAAAAAACCGAACGAACTTATTTGCCAACCCAATATGTATACATATATATATATGTATATTATATATGTAGGTCCAGAGGTATGTTCCGGGACTTTTATTTTTGATATCGGTATATTGAATATACTATATTCCAGGACATTTGGCAGTTTCCAGGACTGTCCTGGAAAAAATTCATGTCCTACGGCAATTTCCGGGACAGTTTTTTGAATCTGATTACATATATATGCGTTATATTCCAGGACTGTACATTTCAAAAAACGTAAACAGTCCCGGAACATACCTCTGGACCTACATATATATATATATATTTATATATATATATATACTTATATGTGAAATTAGATGCTTTATCTTTATATATATATATATTAAAATTTTATGTGATAATGTAGGAAAAACAGGAATTTACGTTCGAAGATAAAATCTATTTTCACACTTTTACTGTAAAAATTATCTCTTTAATAAATATATAAGGAGTCTCAATTTATGAACTACCGTTAAAGTTGTTTTTGCAATGGAGGACTTAAAACTGTTAGTGGAAGCCTGCGACATGTTAGTTAAAGAAGTTGAAAATCTAGCTACTAATGCAACATATATGAAGGAAAGCGCTGCGAAAGTGTACGCTGTGGTCAAACACATGCGTAAAATTACGCCCAAATGTATTAAATTACAATACAACATGGAAGACAAAGAGGACTTATTCCGATATGTGTAAGTACAATCATTTTTTTCTTTTTCACTCGCAAACAGACGGCCGCGATTAGTTTTTTTTTTTTTCGTTTATCAGACACAGATGTATAAATTTCATCGGTGAACTACAAAAAGGTATATTTGATAAAACACTAATTAAAATTCATAAAATAGAAATGGAAGCACAAATAATTTGTGATAAAATAGCAGAAATTAAAATTCCTGGAGCTAATCCAAGGATTCGGACAAATGATTCGGACGCTTCTACAAGTGGTGATAACGAGGATGAGATCATCGACGTCGACTGAATACGGCGCTATGATGTAGTAGTAGTTGTAGACTAGTGGCTGAAATGCAAACTTGCATTTTTGTCCCTAAAAACGACCTTTCAACTCCATCAGGGGAATAAAGTGCATAGTAATCTAACCTATTTGTATGAATTCTTGTTGACACAAAATTCATGCCGCATGACAAATAAATATATATATAATATGGTAAAAAGTTTAAACGATTTTTCCTTTTCATTTACCGTTCACCCCATTCCCTGTCATTAGAATTAAGCTGTCTTCGTTTATCGTTTACTTAATGTAATATTAAAATTTAATATCGCGAAGATCTAAACGATTAAATATCGTTGGCAAAGAAAAGATACGCGATCGTGAGCGAGAACGCGAACGGGGATGAGATAACGGGGGGGCCGGGAGCGAGAGCTTCGAACGGGGGAAATAACGCGAGCGTACCGTTCTCGCGGGCACTGTATAAGCGCGAAGCGCGAGAGAACGCTAATCCTCGCGCAATTAGATTGTCAGTTTGAAGTGTGTGACGATTAAATATAAAAAAAAAATGTCGGAGGAGGATCGCGATCTCATCGAATTCGCCACGGGCCTCGACTCGTCGGACGCGTATCGCGAGTGGGAACGACGGTGCGAAGAGCGTCTCGCGTCTCTGCAAGAGAGATGCCGAGAAAAAACCCGCCCGACGTACACCGGAACGGTGAACTCTCTTATCGTTCGAGTGGCGCGATTGGAAGGAGCGAGAAACGCTCTGCGTCAACGTTTCGCGCAGGTGGGCGCCGGTCACGGCGAACCGAGCAGAGGATTTTTGTGGACGGAGATAGAGACGGCTTTCGAAAGTCGCGTACTGACCGGTGCGGTTATAAACTCGAATCACGTCGATCCTCGATTATTTCTCGAGGACGCGAGGCGCACGGTGCTCGAACAAGTGCGCGTCAATCACGAGAGACACGCGTGCCAGAAGGTCAACACAGTTTTCAATGGCGAGTTCGTCGCGGGGGTTAAAACCGACGTGAAAAGCGTCGTCACGGGAAATCTTCAGCTCTTTCCTACGGCTGATTTGCGAGAATGGTACGACAGATACGTGATCGATGCCACTCTGGCGGGTCTGGATGAGTTTCAGGAACGCGACAGTGGTTGGGCATTGTCGCGTATATTGAACCTGATCGTGAACGTGAACAAGTGCAATCCCATGCACGCCGGATGTTGGTTTGAAATACCGCAATGAATAAAGGTAAAGAAAGCGGTGATCAACGTGCATTCATACGACAACGCGTGTTTCGCGTGGGCGGTAATCTCCGCTTTGTATCCCGCTCTGCGGAACGTGGATCGATGCGGGTCGTATCCCTATTACGCGACGGTGCTGAATTTGGAAGGGATCGAGTTTCCTATGACTCTGAGGCAAATTTCGAGGTTCGAACGACTCAACGACATATCCGTCAACGTTTTCACCACTTGGCGGAAGGGACGGAACGACGAGATCGTTCCTTTACAGCTGACCAACGATAAGGACAGACATGTCAATCTGTTGTATCTGTCAGATTCACGAAACAACTCGAACGGCGGTCATTTCGCGTGTATAAAGAATCTGTCGCGATTGTTGGGGTCTCAATTAAACAGGAGCAAGAACATGAAGTACATATGCGATCGGTAGGTATAAAAAAAGAGTGCGATGTATGTGGAATAAAAAAAATCGTACATATTTTATTTTCAGATGCTTACACTACTTTCACTCGAGAGAGAAATTGTCCGCTAACAGCGTCGACTGCGGAAAGATGAACGACTGCGCCATCGTTCTTCCGAACGACGACGACAAATGGTTGTTTTTTCGCGATCACAGTAGAAAGGAACGACTTCCCTTCGTGGTCTACGCCGATCTGGAATGCGTGTTGGAGAAAGAAAAGATAGACAACGATAACGTCAAAAGATACACATATCAGCATCACAGAGCGTTTAGCGTGGGATACTACCTGTGCAGCCCGTACGACGAGATTGGACCCGGGTACAGATTTCGTCGCGGCGAGGACTGCGTGTCGTGGTTCGTCAACGAGCTCAACGTTATCGCGCATCGCGCGAAGGAGATACTCATAACGAACGTGACCATGGCGGAGCTCACGTTGGACGAGACACGAAATTTTTGGAGCGCGACGAGCTGCCACATATGTGAGAGACCGTTCAAATCGGAGGACGGTCAACGCGTGCGCGATCACTGCCACTTGACCGGACGTTACAGAGGTCCCGCGCATCCGCGTTGCAACCTAAATTATAGAGACTCGTACGTTATTCCTGTGTTCTTTCACAATCTGTCCGGTTACGATGCCCACTTTATTATCAAAGATATCGCCAACAGCTTCGAGGGTAGAATCGATTTATTACCGCTCACCAAAGAGTTGTACATATCGTTCACGAAGTATGTAAGGGAAGGCGTTAACTGGGGAAACTGCGCGAAATTGCGATTCGTGGATTCGTTTAAATTTCTCAGCACCAGTCTCGAGAAATTGGCGTCGTATCTCGAAGGACAAGCTGAAAATCATGCGTTCGGAATTTTCAGAACTAAGCGAAAGCGATTTCGACCTGCTCACACGTAAAGGTGTATTTCCGTACGAGTACGTCGACGGCTTCGATAAGTTGCTGGTGACGGAATTACCGCCGCGCGAGGACTTTTACAGTTCGTTGACCGGCGAGACTGCGAGCGAGAGCGATTACGAGCACGCGCGGAACGTCTGGGGTTGTTTTCGCGTGAGAAATCTCGGCGAGTACAGCGATCTGTATCTCAAAACGGACGTGCTTCTTCTAGCGGATATCTTCAAAAATTTTTGCGACACCTGTATTGACACTTACGGACTGAATCCCGCGCATTACTACACTCTACCAGGATACACGTGGGACGCGATGCTGAAGTACACGGGGGTGCGATTCGAATTGCTCACCGATATTGACATGGTAATGTTCGTGGAGCGCGGTATCCGCGGCGGTCTGAGTCAATGCTCCAACAGGTACGCGCGAGCCAACAACAAATATATGCGATCGCACGACTCTTCGCAACCGTCGACGTATCTCATGTACTTCGACGTGAACAATCTGTACGGTTGGGCGATGTGCGAACCGTTGCCGTACGCGGACTTTCAATGGGTCGACGACGCGGAGAGTCTCGACGTAATGTCCGTGAAGTTGGACTCCGCTATCGGTTACATCTTGGAGGTCGACCTTGCGTACCCGCATGAACTCCACGACGCTCACGCTGACCTTCCGTTCTTCCCGACGCGCGATAAGCCTCCCGGAAAAGGGTGCGATAAACTCCTCGCCACTCTGCGCGATAAATCGCGCTACGTGCTGCATTACCGTAATCTACAGCAATGCGTGCGATACGGATTGTGCGTCACGAAGATTCACCGCGCGCTTCGATTCGCGCAATCTCCGTGGCTTCGGGGATACATAGAGCTTAATACGGGATTCAGAGCTCGCGCCAGCAACGATTTCGAGAAAGAAATGTACAAATTAATGAACAATGCGGTATTCGGCAAGACCATGGAAAACGTACGAGATCACGTAGACGTGCGTCTCGTGACGCGTTGGGATGGGAGATACGGCGCGGAGGCGATAATCGCGAAACCGAATTTTCACAGTCGAACCGTCTTCGCGGAGAATCTGATCGCCGTCGAGTTGCGCAGGCTCGAGGTGAGGTTGTACAAACCCATCTACGTCGGTATGTGCATTCTCGAGATATCCAAGACGCGCGTCTACGATTTTCATTACGATTACATGGTGCCGCTGCATCGCGAAAGGTGTAAGATAATGTACACGGACACCGACAGTCTCATATATTTTCTCGAGTGCGACGACGCGTACGAGGATATGAAACGCGACATCGCGAGATTCGACACAAGCGGCTATCCCAAGGACAACAAGTATCGCATGCCGCGCGTCAACAAGAAGATACCCGGTTTGATGAAAGACGAGAACGACGGCACGGTGATGACAGAATTCGTTGGACTGAGGTCGAAAATGTACGCCTTGAGGGTCGAGGAAAAGAGCGACACGAAGAAAATAAAGGGTATCAAGAAAAACGTGGTCGCGAGAACGATAACGTTCGACGATTACGTGTGTTGTCTGAACGACGCGATAGGGCAGTTTAGGCGTCAGTCGTGTATTCGTTTGACTGCACACGAGGTACACACCGTGTCCGAGTTGAAACTCGCTCTCAGCCCGTACGACGACAAGCGATACGTCGTTCCCGACTCGTACGACACTCTACCGTGGGGGCATTACAAGATACAGCCGTGAAAAGGACCTTTTTTTTTTTGTTATTAAGATTATATTTTTTTTAAACAATAAAGAATATACAACAGTCAACAGCCCTTTTTTCCTCTGAGTAAACTGACGATACAATTGCGCGAGGATTCGCTTTGGCTCGCGCTTATCGCTCGGCGGATGTCAATAGGGCAGCATATAACTCTGGAAATAGCTTTGAGAGATAACCGCGATTGACCTAGAGGGGAATTCGGAATGGCCCGCCCTCTCGCGCCGGGCGAGAGTGGTGG